AAGAGGGGTATTATTATTTGGGCCTCCAGGATGTGGCAAAACTATGTTAGCTAAAGCTGTAGCTCACCATACAACAGGTATGAGTAAACATATCACTTCATGTACAACTAAATATAGTTCACCACACAACAAACAACAGGTATGGGTAAACACATCACTTCATGAACAAATAAATAATTTAGTGTGTGCATCAACATGTATTATTAAACAAATGTGTTAGTCCTACAGTTTCAATGGCCAACATAATAATGTATTTTCTTTTTGTTATCTTTCCAGCTTCTTTTATCCGTGTTGTAGGTTCAGAGTTTGTACAAAAATATTTAGGTGAAGGTCCACGAATGGTGAGAGATGTGTTTAGATTAGCTAAAGAAAATGCACCTGCTATTATATTTATTGATGAAATTGATGCTATTGCTACCAAAAGATTTGATGCTCAAACTGGAGGTATATATTTACTTTAAAGCGCGGTAGTCGTCGCGAGATATATGGGTCTCGTATAAACAAAGATGACGACTTTGACTGTTGCGCAGATCAACGAGTACAAACTGAGACGTTTCCAAGCTTTAATTAAGTAATTTTCAAAAGTATCAAGAGTCATTGGCGGAAATCAGTGCAAGTCGCGCCCAGGTCAAACCTCATACTTGTGATTTCCATTTGGAGAGCGCATTGGGATTTGTGGGAAAATTAGTGTTTACCAACACAAATGTCGAACATGCGCAGTGCGACGACTACCGCGCTTTAAAAGCTTTTGATTCTATTGCTTAGTACTAGCCTTTGCTAGGTACCAGGTGAACATGTTCAGTTAGTCACTGTCAGATAAACATGTGTATTTATTATCATTAAGTAGTACTGTTATGTTACTTGAGGAACGTTTCATATCTTATTGGTTTGTTGTGTGTGATTCAGTTTTTTCTGTCTATTGCAGCTGATAGAGAAGTGCAACGTATACTTTTAGAACTCCTAAACCAAATGGATGGATTTGACCAGACGGTTAATGTAAAGGTATAACTGTTTATTTCATTAACTAATTTTCAGATAATGTGCCTCATTAGCTAATGGTCATTTAAATCGCAGTTAATATGCCACTAATTATCCACAGTGGTTGGAGAATTCTCCCAAATTTTATCCTTTCATGATATATAAAAAATGATTGGTTTCTTTTTGATGTATTCTTGAGTAAACCAATAGTTTGTTGTAAGGCCAGACTTTTTTTATTCCTTGTTTCTCGAGTTTTTATAAG